ACAACACCTTTGTATCGGACTTGGTAGATCTCACCGTTGGTACTACGCAAGTCTTCTCTCCATCCAAGATACACATGGTGTTGGCAAATGGAATGGGGAAGGCCTTTACTTGGTCGAGGAACTCCATCCCAAGAACCACTTTGAAGTCGTCCAAGGGTACCACAGACAGATCTAAGTGTCCTACCCATGCACCGAGGGTAGTCTTCACGCCCCGGGCTATGCCTTGTATTGGCTTGGCCATGGAGTTGACAGCTTTCACAGAACCAACCCCGCCAACTACCTTAAGGCCTAGTCTCTTAGCTTCTTCGATGGAGATGAAGTTATGAGACGCACCTGTATCGATTAAGGCCCTTGTATCCTTCCCGTTGATAGTGGCATCCACGAATAAAAGTCCCTAGGCTTGAATCTTCGGAGTACATTGGATGGCGTTAAGAAGTTGTAAAGAACCAACTTGGGCATCCTCCCTGCCATCACTTGACCTTTGTTCCTCCAGATTGGCCGTCAAGGCATTGAGGGCCTTTGTCTTCGGGCAATCTCTTGTCCAATGAGGACCGCCGCACAAGAAGCAACCTCGCCTAGGGACGGATCGATCAAAATTCTCGCCTTGCTTGCCTTTATCTTTTGGCTTTGACGAGTTTTGATTTCGGCTTTGGTTGTCTTCCTTGCGGTTGCTTCGATTGTGCTCTCCCCCACCTTTGTTGGCGCCCCCTTTCTTGTCTTTAGGCTTGGGCATCTCTTTTTGGTTCATGTAGTCCGTGAAGCTTTCGACTATGGCAATGGCGGTGGCCAAGTCTTGTGCTCCACGACGCCTAAGCTCGGTCTTAGCCCAATGCTGCAGACCGTCCATAAAGAAGAAGAGGGAGTCTTTGTCAGACAAATCAGGGATCTCGAGCACAAGGTTGGTGAATTCCTTCACATAGTCTCGAATGCTGCCCGAGTGCTTTAGCCTTCGGAGGCGGCCACGAGCTTCCTCCTCGGCATTCTCAGGGTAGAATTGCTTTTTGAGTTCACTCTTAAAAGTATCAAAGGTAGTGATGGAACACGTACCTCTCCTTATGTCCTCTTGCCTTCGGCGCCACCAGAGCATGGCAGTGTCCGTGAGGTACAAAGCTGCAGTCTTGACTTTGGTCTCATCTTCTAAAATGCCCACGGCACCAAAGTATTGTTCTAGCCCCCACAAGAAGTTGTCTACCTCTCGAGCATTACGCGTACCTGCGAAACTTTTTGGCTTCGGAATATCAATTCGGCGTGGTTCCATGGCAGGTGTAGGTGCGCCTATAACCACTGCCTTCTTGCACAAGGCAAGATCGCCTCGTGCTTCTTCCAACTGAGTAAGCACGCTGTTGAGTTCCCTCTGGTGGACGTCTCGCAAACGGGTCACTTCCGCCATAAACTCGTCTCGAAGGGCCTGCAAGTCTGCCCTGTTGGACTCTCCTAGCTTGGTTAGGGCTTCACGCACCTCCTCATGGATTTCGGCAAAGTCCGCCTCTAGACCTTCCACTCGTTGGTCTAGGTTCTCCATGCGTGCACCTAAGTCGCCCACGCTTTCCTCCACCCGAGTCAAGCGTACCTCAAAGCTAGAGACTAAGTCCTTAGACTTCCCTCGTAGTTTTGGCGCGGTAGGGTCGCGTTGCTCATCACGACCCCGTCCCTGTTGCGATGACTCCACGTTGGTGGTGTCGGATCCAACCACTTGATCCTTGGTGTTCTTTGCCATGTCCAGAACGTGGCTCTGATACCACTTGTCACGCTCTTACTCTTCAAGTAAGCAAACGTGCGGCCTTAGCACTCACTTAAATGCTAAGAAAGCCTAATTTACTCAAACTCACGAAGGCAGGCAAAGAGTAGACAAGTAAAGTTGTATTACTAGAAGAGAACTTTACAAGGCTATCTTGGAACTTCCTCCACAAATGAGGAGGTTCCCCTTATTTATAGGCCAAGGGGACCCTTCTATGAACATTCTAGAATTCTATAGACCACTATCTAGTCTAGAACTCTCTAAAGAATTATACACAAGGTGGACAAATGACTATACTTCTTTAGGATTATCTAGAATATTCCATATGGTAGACAATAGTAGAACATTCTAGAGAATCCTAGAGTCTTCTTGCAACCCTTTAACACTTAAAATGGGGCAAGAATTTGCGGATTGTGACATCCTGCTCTACAAATTACAGCTAGTAGTTGAAAATAATCAAGACTATTTCGACGACCAACTAGTTCAAGTTGTGATTTTTCTAAAAGTAAGTAAATAGTTAAATAACAGCAGCCATCCATTACAACTTTCAGCAATATATACTTGAAGTTATAATCTGCATCAGAATGTTAATCTATAGTCTCAGAAAGCGTTTAGAAAAAACCTCGGACCCTAGTTAGTGGCTAGTTTGGAAACAAAAATAAAAAACTCTAAATTTCCCAATGTCTTTGCGATTATTGCAATTTGCAATTGCATAACCAACACCATAATTAAAAATTCAAGATTCCTTTTCAACCCCAGTACTAATAACTAATAAGCTCCCACAAGTGTCAATGAAATCTTAAAGAAGCCAATATCAGCAATACATTATCTCCTCTAGTCTCAAATTCTTAACACACACGAATAGAGCTTTTCTAGGCTTTCGTTTTCCTTTTTCTTTAATAATAAAAAATTGTTCTTTTTTCGGAGAAAAGTGTCTCCAGAGGAAAAGAACAGGCAAAAAGTCCTTTCGGGCATTGCTGAACTTCTAAAAATTTGTTTTAAAAAAAATGAAACTTACCTTTGAGCACTGCCATACACAACAGGAAGCAAATTCTAAGCTTAATACTAAAAATGCATCTTCAGCTTAAAAACAAAAGGAGCAATTAGAAAAAGAGATATTTTTTAAAAGACTCAACTTTCTCGGGAAACAAACAACAACACATACACACCAAACAATCTAAAAAAATGGAAAAAATAAAATAAAATTACCTCCAAGCATCTGAGTTCCTGTTCAAGGTGCTTAAGTTCGGCGAGAATCCGGTGCTTTCCTCTGTTATCGTTGGACCCTCCAACTCCGGCAGAAGAACCGATATGTTCGTCGGTGGACGACGCCGTTTCGGACTCCATAGCTCGCCAGGAGAACATAAAACGAAGCTCCAAAGCAAAAACTACAGCACAGCCACTCTCATTTCGGCTCCATGTCTCTGGCTTTTCAATCCACAGATTGTTTAGTAATCTACAGATCTGGTAAAGTCTCAGCGAGTTTCTCGAGATATAAAAGAGTTCCAACCTTTTCTTTCTCTCTGTCTATGTTTCTTTGGGAAAAGAAAGAAAATACATGGAAAAATGTCCAAGACCTTTTTTTTTCCTCCTTTTTCATGGTTCGTAGTTTGTTGATTGCTCATACAATTTGACAAGGAAAAGTTGTTCGTACAACATGGTAAACGTATCAGTGCCTCTCTCGTTATTTTATCATTGGAATTTTTAATTTTAATTTTATTATAATTAAAAATTTAAATAATAAAATATTTAATTACAATAATAAATTTTTTTTACATAAAATTATATTTAAATTTAAATTAAAAACTTGAATATTAAACGAAGTACTTTAATTACCAAAAACAAGTTGTTCTTGTCCCTTTCCAAAATAAATAAATAAATAATTATGCATAAATAAAAAAGAGGTTATATGTGATATTGCTAAAATCATAGGATTAGAATAATTTAAAACGTAATTTGCTTACCAAATTTCTTTTATAAAAAAAATGAGTTTACCAAATTTCAGGGTTGTATTATTAGAATAAATATTTAAGAAATCAAATTTATAACTTGTCTATGACCTTATTTCATGATTATAAAAGATTATTCTGATTTATCCATATCAGCATCATATCAATGATAACAACAATAATATTAGTTTTTTTTTAAATAAAATCCAAATACACCGATTTACAACTTTTTTATACTTCTTGTCTCCTCCTCGGCGTTTGTGCACTAATTATTGGAACCTACCCGCGTCCCTGTATATACGCGTCCAAAAGAGAAGCGGCACGTGTAACGTGAGGTCCTGAATTACTAACCAATGTTTGGTTTGGCATTATAACTAACAATTCAATTCGAATGGTATCTTAAAAATATTTAAAAATAATGAGGACTATTCAAACTCTCAATTATGATTTAAGTGGTTGATTTTTGAATTTATATTCCTTCTTAAATTCACAATTCAAATTGTTTGACACAATTATTTTTTGTTTCTTTCTCTTTAATTTTAAATTTAAAAATATTATAACTTATTCGTTTAACTCCAATTGAAATAATTTCTATGTTCATAATGAAAAGATGAACAAATATCTACTCATATTGCGTATTTAACAATGAAGTTTTATAACATTCGTTGTAAGATTTTAATGATATTTTTCAACACTCTACTCAAAGACAATTAGGATTTAATTTATAATTTAAAGTACAATTTATTTACGTATCATAATTCAAATGAACACAATTCTTATACTTCAATTCAAACTAAATCATTATAATTCAAATGGCGAACCAAACTATTTTCTTTCATTTAACGTCTTTTTTATTGCATTATTATTACTAGAAAATTTGATTTTAATTTTGTATTCCCTTCGAAAGTCACACATGAGCCAAAAATGCGAACCATGTGGCTCCTAAAATATTTTATAAAGCATCGTTTTCATGGCTCAACAAAACAGAGCATTTCGTTATTTATCTTCGTTTGAAATTGCGTTTACCTTTCCTTTGACTCATTATAAAAGTACATGGTAAGAGAAAGAAAAACAAAAGCTATAAATAAAATCAAATTGAGAGATGTTTACAGGGAAATGCTTCCACACAAATGCTTGCTCTAGTTGCTCAAATCCATATCTTAAAACTAATTAAAGTATTTCATTTACAACCTTAATTCATTTACTTGCCACATTTTGATCTGCCAGATAACAAATCTCATTTCACTTATTATCTTCTAAAGTGGATCCCACTCCCCACATTTTGCACATATACAAAGCTATATATATATATATATATATATATATAATCATTTAATAGCCGTTTGAAGTTCATACAAACCAATTTTTGTCACCACCTCATTAGGAGGAGGGGGTATCTCATCAACTGCTTGAACAGAATTGTACTTAGAACTGTACTTTTCACCGTCACCCCACAAAGCATAAGCCTCTTCTCCATGCACCGCATCATCACCCGTTTGCATCACATCCTCCGCAAGTCTAAGGGGGGCCACAAACCTTATGGACAAGCATATCGCCGTGGTGGTGAACACGTTGAGGATTATCACAAACACCATGCCAAGAAGCTGGACTCCCACTTGCCTGAACCCCGCCGCAATTTGGCCGGTTTTAAGGCCGTAGAAGAGGCCGGTGTATCGCTGCCAATTGTTGGCCGAGTAGAAGAGGCGGCCGAGCTTTGGCTCGGCGAAGAGGCCGGTGAGGAGGCCGCCGAGGGTGCCGGCGACGGCGTGGGTGTGGAAGACGGCCATGGTGTCGTCCACTTTCTTGAGGAGGCGTATCTGCCTGTGGAGGATCATCATGGTGTACCATGGGACGCTCCCTGCCATCATTCCCATTATGATCGCTGCCCATCCTTGCACTACTCCTGTTTGTATATATTGTGGACATAGTTGTTTTGTTTACTTTGGAGATCAGATGACTTGCCAATTTTTGCATAGTTAAAAATATGCACGTATGTAATTTGTTGGAAGATATTATCATAAATACTAATTAAGTAATTATTGGTCTCACCTCTTATGTATATGCAGTATTATCATCTTTTTCAATGTGGTACCAGAGTCAAAAAAAAAAAAAAAGTTATGAGTTTAAGGCCCCGTTCACTTCACCGATTCGAGTTTAGAATTTGAATTTTACTATAGTAAAAAATTCTCAGAAATAATCACATTTAACTTTTTTACTACAGTAAAAAATTCTTACATAAAATCACATCTCAACTCGAATTACAAACTTGAATCAGAAGTTAACAGCTCTTCATTGAGGTTTTAGTTTAATATATATAATATTAAGTTTTTATATGCTTCATCATTAAATGCTCGCAACTTATTTATCACACACATTAAAGGTGACTTGTCAAACGAGCTGAACCAAATTTTCTAAACTATTTGTGCATGTATTTCTGCAACTATTTTGAGGTTTGGGTTAAATTAATTGTATATACATATGCATGCGTAATCCTTGTGACGCACAATGACGATGTTGGAGATTTTATTTTTTTACTTTTTCTTACTCCAATCACATCCGGCGACAGTCGAGTGCAACCAATTCATTAATAACGTAAACGTACGTCGCTTGTGATTGAAAAGTCAACTACTATAGTAGTAAGTAGCGACATTGAGGAATTCTTGGTCATATTATATTATAGATAAGACTTTAACAAAAGTTTGTTTGATGTTTAATATATGTGAATTAATTCGATGTATATATAGATATATTTATAATGGGGAAGAGGCTATTATGATATATAGAAGTGATACGAGATCACCTGCAGCTGGGGTGATGCAAACAAGGCCCGTGATCATGCCCTGTGTGGCCCCAATGACAGACGGCTTCCCAAAGAAAATAATGTCAAGCAACAGCCACGTCAGCAGACTTGTGGCGGTACACACGTGTGTGTTGAGAACGGCGAGAGATGCGTCGGCACTAACGGAATAAGGATCTCCACCGTTGAATCCAGTCCATCCCATCCACAGTAGGCCCGCCCCCGCTAACATCAGGAGGATGTTGTTTGGTGGGAACCTCTGCCTGTCCCTGCTTGCCCTTGGTCCCACCTGTAAATGACACCACATCACTCCTTCCATTTTCAGAAATACAGAACAACTAAGGACCCGTTCAGTTCGTTGATTCGAGTTTTTAATTTGAGTTGAGATGTGACTTTATGTGAGAGCTTTTTACTGTAACAAAAAAGTTAGATGTGATTATTTCTGAGAGCTTTTTACTGTAATAAAACTCAAATTCTAAACTCGAACCGACGAAATAAACGAGGCCTAATTTAGAAAAATTTCAAGAACCAAGATTTTTCTTTACTAATAACCCAAATGTTAAAAACTTCAAAATTGTTACTTCTTCACAAAAATAGATCACATCCTAAATTATATTTCCTTCGTTCGAGCTCACGTATTTCTTTTTTATGTCACTTTTATAACATCATGTCATTTTAATTAATGATAATATAAGTATTGTTCAATTCATAAATTTAAATTTTTAATTTAAATTAAGATCTGATTTTATATAAATTTTTTTTATTATAATAAAAAGAATTAGATATAATTTTTTATGAGAATTTTTAACAATAATAAAATTAAAAATAAAAATTTAAATTGATAAAATGAATGATAAAAGAACACCTGAGTCTTCCATCATACAGCACAAATGATAATATATGCCTTATTTAATTTTTAATTTGAGTTGATACGTGATTTTATGTGAAAATTTTTTACTGTTGTAAAAAAAAATTAGATATGAATTTTTGTGATAATTCTTAACTGTAATAAAATTAAAATTAAAAACTATGAAATGAAACAAACCATAATATAAAGAAAGATTACCCAGTAAGCGGCGGTGAAGCCAGCAACACCAGAAGACAAGTGGACGACAAAGCCACCGGAATAATCAATAATCCCCAGTCTGGACAACCACCCTCTTGGATTCCAAATACTATAAGCACAAACCGTGTAAGAGAATGTTATCCACAGCGGCACGAACACCATCCACGCCTGGAAACTCATTCTCCCCAGCAACGCCCCGCCAATCAGGATCGTCGTTATGGCCGCGAACACCAACTGGAAATATACCATGCTGGCGTTGGGAATCCGGCCCAAGAACGCCCTCTCCAGGAGGAACTTCTGGCCCAGAGCGGTGCTGGGCCTGCCCAGGAAGGGGAGGAGCCTTTTCCCGAACGACATCTCGTGGGCCCACCCAACCCAGCAGATCACTACGGCGGCGAAGGCGTACAAGGCCATGAAGGCCGAGTTCAAGGCCCATTTCTTCTTCACTATGCTTCCGTAGAGGATCACCAGGCCCGGCACGCTCTGGAGGCCCACCAGCGTAGCCGCCGTCAGCTGCCACGCGTTGTCGCCCTTGCTCATCCACTCCGGGCTTTCAGCGTCGGCGATGAGGTTCTCCGGCAGGCTCGTCATGATATTTGAGTTGGTTTGAGGTATGAAACTCGGTGGAGAGTTTTTTTTTGGGTGAAAGATATTTGGACCAACCTAGTATTTATATATATATATATATATATATATATATATATATGTAGAGAGAGAGAGCAAATAGTAGGTATCTGAATCTGAATCTTAATAATTATAAAAGAAAAAAAAATCTTATACTTTTTTTCGAGTTGTTATCAATTTATAAGATATAACTTTGTGATAAAATATGAGGTGATATAAGGTTTTGGTGATTTAGCACCATTCACATGAAATAAATTCTGTATTTAAATTGAATTATGAGAATTGTTGTGCCATTTGTTAATAGCTAATATGTTGTCTCGTTCATTTCGCAGATTCGAGTTTTCAATTCGAATTGAGATGTAATATTTTATGTAACAAAAAGTTAGATATGATATTTTTTGAGAATTTTTTACTGTAGAAACCTAAAACTGAAAACTCGAATGTGAGATGAACGAGGCGTAAATCACTAATATATTTAAAAAAAAATGGTCAAAAGATCTCTTTACACTCATAGTAAAATTTAAATAGTAAAGTTGAAATATAATAGAAATTTTATTGCTTATAACTATTTTTTAAAAATAAAAAATAAAAAAAATTCTGAAATTCTTGTCTAATGCCATTTGTATCTTGTGAGAGAATTTACGAGTATCAAAGTTGAAACTAACTACTATACGTATTTTTGTGATTGCTTCAATAAATTTATCTCGCTCATGTTTAGGGAACTAGACTAGATTTTGTTGATTATGAAAGCACGAGAATGCCCCTCTGATTGTTGGACGTTTGTGGTGAAACTGAGTAACGAGTATTGAATCTGCTGTAGTTATGGCTGGTGGGTTTGTACGTGAGTGGGGCGACGGATAAAACAAAGGATACAAATACAACCATACAAACAACCAAATACACTGGAATCGTCGCCGACAACTGGGATGAGATTCTTCTTTTGGGCCAATGGTTGATGTTCCCTAAGTGACTTGTGGCCTTTTATTTTAATCAACATTTGATTAGTTTCCATTGTTATTGTTTTGTTGTTTTTGACCTTATTTGTCAAAAGCAGTGTTATGCTGACTCTGTTTTAATGCCAATTGGTTTCGGTAATTAGTAGTCAGCTTGCATATTTCTAAAGCAATATTCTGCGTTCTCCATTGCCAAAATAAAATAAAATCACTATTCTTGAATAATTGAATTGATTACATGTCTCATTATGAATAAATAAGTTTGTTTCTGTGAGTAAATGAAAAGGCAACGAATAATGTTTGGGGGCTATCATCGGTTGTTAAAACATTATGATTAATAGAAAATGGGATCCAGTTATCAGTTCAGACTCTTTTGTAAGTGTTCAATACTTAATCATCAAATATTTGTGCTCGTTGAACTGTTCAGCGTCAATATTATCATATTTTTATTGTTTACGACCATTCTAAACGTCACAACTAATAAAACATGAGTTCCATTAATACCTTCTATCTGCGAGATCTGTTCTTTATTAACGTGTGATACTTAACACTACCACTACGCTGCCCCTAATATTGTTATAGCTCAAACGGTCCCAAACATATGTCTAATTAGGCATTCTATTTTCCTAGACGTGCCCAGTTTTGTTTTTTTCTCCTTGAAATTGACAAGTCACGTTTAGGTCTTGTTTATTTTATCAGAGTTTAAAATTTGAGTTTTATTACAGTAAAAAACTCTTAAAAATAATCATATTTAATTTTTTTATTACAATAAAAAATTCTAACATAAAATTATATCTAAATTTAAATCAACGAATTAAACAGATGATTATTTTTCTCGTTAAGCCCTTTGTAAATTTCCGACCTCCAATTTCTTTTTTGAACTAAACGCAAGAAATCCTCAATAAATCTCTGTTGAAGAGACACGTGTCTCCATGGAAGTGCCACCACAAACAATCTTTGTTTTATGTCGTATACCACTCACTCCTCTAATGCTCTACGGTCACAAGCAGCTGCCGATAAACAAGTGGTGCCCGTTCATGTCCCTGTCTCTATCTCTCTCTCTCTCCAACTCAACCTCTAAACTCTCCAATCCTCGTTTCTTTCGCATTTCACTAGGTCAATGATCTCAAAAAACCCCTTTGTCAGAAGCTAATAAATCACTAAACCAAAGAAACTCCAAAAATCTGCAATTGGGTTCTTCACTTGTAGTCCACAGCGTCAAAATTTACTACAACCCCCAGTGAAATCCAATGGCCTCCGCGATGCTCAACGGAGCCGATAATCTCAACCTCTTCAGAGGACTAGCAACCCCAAATGGGTTAGGTTTCCGGGGCTCAGATTTCCACGGCAAGCATTTTCCCAAACTGGGTTTGGTTTGCAACACCAGAATATCAAAGTCCAACATCGGCGGAACTTCCGTTTTTGTGCCCAAGTGCAGTCTCTCGACTTCTAGGCCCGCTTCTCAGCCCAGGTTCATTCAGCACAAGAAAGAGGCTTTCTGGTTCTACAGGTTTCTTTCCATTGTGTACGACCACATCATAAATCCGGGACACTGGACTGAGGACATGAGGGATGAGGCGCTTGAGCCGGCTGATCTTAGCGACCGGAATATGATTGTGGTGGATGTTGGTGGTGGTACGGGTTTCACCACTTTGGGGATAGTTAAGCATGTGGATGCGAAAAACGTGACCATTCTTGACCAGTCACCTCATCAGCTTGCTAAGGCTAAGCAGAAGGAGGCCTTGAAGGACTGCAAGATTATTGAGGGGGATGCTGAGGACTTGCCTTTCCGTACTGATTATGCTGATAGATACGTATCTGCAGGAAGGTAATTTTATCAGCTTCTTAAGGCCTTTACTCTCTCAATGTTTATCATTAAAATGATGATTTGAATCCTTTTTTTTTTTTTTGTATTAGGCACTGTGTTTGAGGTAGAATTTTTAGATAACATGACTTTACGTGATTGAATTTGTGTATAAATCTAGGGTTCTAGAAAATAAAAGCACTTCAGAATGTTAGTTTTGGTCGTTCGCTTTTGTGGCATTACCACTTTAGATGCTTTTAGTAAAGCATCATCAACGCACTGCTAAATTTAATGTAATTTAGACATTCGAGTAGAAAAACCATTCTATATGCAGTGTTATTTTTAATTGCTAATTTGTTGATATGTTAATTACAACATTGTTATTTTCTAGTAGTTACCAACAGTAGTCATGGTGTTTCTATCATTACTTGTGGAAATGACATAAAAGAAACAATCAAAACCATAAATCTATATGACGTGTATATTTATTGATAGTAGACTCTGTGGTAGTGTTTCTGATGGGGTTTATAAAAATGCTTCTTTTCAGTATTGAATATTGGCCAGACCCACAGCGAGGCATCAAGGAAGCCTATAGAGTCCTGAAACTTGGAGGAAAGGCATGCGTAATTGGTCCTGTGTACCCTACATTCTGGTTATCTCGCTTCTTTGCTGATGCATGGATGCTCTTTCCGAAGGAGGAAGAGTATATTGAGTGGTTCCAAAAGGCAGGATTTAAGGATGTACAGTTGAAAAGGATTGGCCCAAAATGGTACCGTGGCGTTCGCCGGCATGGTTTAATCATGGGATGTTCCGTGACTGGTGTTAAACCCGCGTCCGGTGATTCTCCGTTGCAGGTAACTTCACCCTTTTTCTTTGAATCCATTTATAGAACAGCTTCACTTGTTTGTCAGTGTTTGCGTCTGTAAACATATCATGCTATGAGAAACAACATGCTGATACCACCATTGAATTATCGATGTAGTCAATGATACATTATTGTTGTCTTTTGGATGTTGGGGCATAAATTTATAGAAATTAACACTCTCATAGGAATTGATCTGCTTGCGCACTTTGGTTTGTTCTGAATCTTCTGATGATTCCTCTTAATAATAAGAATTTGGTAGTACCATTGCTTATGCTCGTAGAATCATAATGACAACATATAAGGGCACATGGTAAAACATATTATGCTGACGCTGTCCTGTTCGTGTGCTTGTAAATTTACCATATTTATTTTATGTTCCTCCTATCGTTTTCTTTTTCATCTTTTCCAAGCTCTTGTTTATTTTGGCAGCTTGGTCCGAAGGAGGAAGATGTATCAAAGCCAGTAAATCCATTTGTGTTCTTTTTGCGATTGATTTTGGGTGCCATGGCAGCAACTTACTATGTGCTAGTCCCAATTTACATGTGGTTGAAAGATCAAATTGTACCCAAAGGTCAACCAATCTGAGAGAATGAGTGAGAGTGAGTGAGAGGCTGGCTTCTATTTTGCCATTTGCTAGACAATCTCCTTAGAAGTTGCAACGTCATGTAAGCCGTTATTAATGTTCCTTTTTGGAGGAGTTACGTTACTTAACACGTATTTTTCACCTTTCTTCCTACTCCTTCTCAACTTTTTAAGTTCTTGGATTTACAATGTGCATGAGAAGCATACTTGTGGGATTGCCTCGTGCCTTTGTCTGCTGTTTTAAATTTTTGGGATTACCTCGTGCCCCTTTTTCTTTTTCCTTGGAGGAAAAAGGAAGATCATTGGTCTTATTTGACAATTACAATTAATAAAAAGGTATTTTATACATTTACCCTTTGAACTTGTATGGTTTTAGCAATTTACTCCTGAAGTTTTAATTTTAGCAAGTTGCCCTTTTAACTTGTATAATTGTTGCAATATGCTCTATTTTGACAATGATTGTGTCGACGAAAAATTTTAACATTCAAATTCAAATGTAACATAAAATTTTCAATTCCTTAACTTTTGATTCTTAAATTTAATAAAAAGTTTAAGCAAATTTAGTAAAATAGAACACTTTGCTACAATTTTTACAAGTTTAAGAGGTTGATTGTTAAAATTAAAAATTTAAAGGATAATTTGTTAAATCACGATAAGTTTAAAAGATAATTGTGTTAAAAAACCCTTACTAAAAAGAGCTTAAGGTTCACTTCCTAATTTCTATCAATGTTTTGATGCCAATAGTACGTTGTTCTGTCCCATTGATATTCTTTTCATAAGATTAAATAGAAAATTTAAACTAAAATTCTAATTTTAATAAGAAAAAATATTATAACAAAAAATTTAAATTATGATTCAAATCTATATTAAAAAACAACATATTATTATTATTATTATTATTATTATTAGTGTCTCCTAAATTTTAGAGTCATTTTTAATTTGTCCAAACTTTAAAAATTCATTTTACCTTTTAAACTTTGAATTGTTCTCAATTAACCGCTTCTATTATAATCTATGTTAAAAACATATAGGAAAAAAAAAAGAGTTACGCAATTACGCAGCCTTAGTATTCGATTTTATATTAAAAATAAACAGATAAAAATCATATAATCACATTTACTCTTTTTTTTTGTCTGATTTTAATAGAAATTTTTATAAAAAGCTTAATTGAGACAAATTTAAAATTCAAAGAGCAAAGTAAAAATTTTTAAAATTTAAAAAAACAAAATGCGAATGACCTCAAAATTTAAGGGGACAAACTAAAAAAAAAAAAAAAAACCCTAACTAAACGGGGAGAACCGTCAATTTTCACTCAACATGAGCTAAGGTCTCGCGGTCCCTTTACGGGGCAAAAAAATCAACCGTATTAAAACCTCAAATCAGAGTTGCATCAAAATGACATCCTCATTTTATTATTGAGAAATAGTAGAAAATAGACCAATATGAAAAGCTTAAGAAAATATATAGGCCAATTTTTAGTTACAGAAATTAATAGGCCAGAACTTATCAAGTTATGGTTCATAACCAGATAAGTTATGGACAAACTTGTCAAGTTATAATTCATAGCCAGACAAGTTATAGACGAAAAAATAGTAATTTAGTCTATTTATTAACTTATGTAAACTATTGGCCTATTAATTTTAATTGATCTCAAGTCTTGACTTATTTTTCTCTTTCTCTCTTTATTATTTTATTATTTTTTGATAATTATTTTATTATTTTTTGATAATTAAGACATCATTAGTGCTGGTAAGATGTTGTAATAATTACCGTAATGCTTGTAAGATGATAATGGAGTAAATAGTCATCCATTAGTAATAAGGAGACGTTTACAAAGAGGATTCATGCCATAATTCAAATCATAATTTATAATTCACTATAATATTTTCTCTTATAAAAATACACATAAAACGAGAATGATTTTAAATCCATGAACCAAACGTTCCTTAAACAACGCCAGTTTTCTTCAAAAAAAATTTCTTTTCCAAAATTTATCTTAATCAAGTTCCGTTAAACATACCTTTTTTTCATAATTTAATAGAATTTAAAACTTGACTATTAGAAAGTAGAAACTAGTTCCTACCAATAAGATTTTTGTTTTTACTAAAAAAAAAAAAAAAAAAAAAAAAAAATTTTTTTTTTTAAAAAAAAAAAAAAAAAAAAAAAAAAAAAAAACTTGTTCTTAAGAAAAAAATAAATAGAAAGCTTAACAAACTCTTAATTATCTCCGAAAATAAGAAGGAAAAAGAACTCTTCTGGCGTCCAGAATCTAGATCCGGATCCACTAACCGAGTCCAAGATACGAGCTTCAAAGCATTTTCACCAAAACACTATTTTGCAGCCATAGGAGAACGAGAGACAGCCTCTCCAGTCTCCACCAAGATGCCAGTTGAAACTACCTTGTATCAGGACTGATATCTGCATATGAAACCAACCCCCTTTGTCCAGATGGGGAACTTGATATTGATCTGCTCGGGGACGCAGACATTCTGTCCTGACGTCTTGCTGGTGTGGCATCTGGAGATCTCGAGTCAGAGGATCCTTTACTCCTGGACCTGGACCCCGTGCCATCCTTATTTGGGGAGCGCTGATGATCAATTCGGGGACCCAGGCGGGATTTTAGTCCCTCACTTACAGGTAGTCGCTTCTCCACAGGACTAGGGCTGCGAATAGGGCTCCGACTCCGGCTATGTTCCCTGTAGCGGCTACGATAATTCCGTGGACTACGGGAGAGACTCCTACTGCGACTTCTTCGGTTTCGATACCTACAGCAAAGGGTAATCCAAATAAACTTACCAATTTATGACCGGTTGCAAAAGGATGCTGAGGATCAAATAACTAAATACAGACGGAAGAACAAGCAGGTAAATGCAGAAACATCCACCAAAAGCCCTATTAGCCTTTTATCAAACAAACATTATCAATATTATCATTATATCATCTTCTTATCACATGTATATTTTCTATTTACTACTCTGTCAAGACGGACACTATCAAAGATACTACAACAAACAATACAAACTTAGATGAAGTTCACCATAATTATTAGAGAGAAAAACCTGGGAGGGCTCTGGCCTCTTGGTGGACTTTGGTTACGTCTACGTGGTGACCGGTCAGCAAAACGTCTGTAGCTTGAATATCTTCACACACACAAAAAACAAAAAAAGACAAAAAAAGAAGACTAAATATAGATCATGTCATAATTCTTAGTTCAGGCACAGTATTAAAGTTACCTATCAGTGTTCCTTCCATAAAACTTTACTCCACCATAGCGGTAACCACGAGGTGAGCGATCTGGAGAAGGAGTACGGTACCGACGTGCATAAGAGTAGCGATCAGTGAAGCCACGTCCTTTCCTAACACGTTTCTGACCGCCATTTGGAGAAGGGCTTCTTGATAAGCCCTGACCACGAGTGGGAGCAGGAGGTTCAGGGGACTTGCGAATGGGACTACGCAAGGGACTCCTTGAAGACCCTCCTCTATCTTGCTCTCCAGATTTCCTAGCAGGACTACGACGGGGGATTCGTTTAGGACTTCTGCTAGGACTGCTCCTAGGGCTATGTTTCGACCTTTTGGGAGTCGGACTTCTGCAAATCATATACACGATTAAAATTTTAACTTAATCATTACAACCCAAAAAGTCTTAAGATGGTCCTATAAACCTAATAATTAGTCAGAAAAATACGAATTTGACCAAGCCAATGAAAGAAACCTTGAATTGCTCGAGTCATCTGGATGTGATTGTAGATTACCACCTTTAGTTTCTGCACCATGTCCATTGTCTAAAAGTACATTCTTTGGAGATAATTCACCTTCCTCTTGGGATGAGTTCCCCTGAGCTGTCTTCATCTCATGACTCGTACTTAGTTTTACAGCAGTTTCTCTTACTCCATTGGGGGATTCCTTTTCCACATCTGTAAAAGCAAATCAACCATGACAAAGTTGTCAATGCAATACAAGATACTAATAAAATTCAATGAGCGTGCATGTTGTCTTAATGAGATATAGAAAGAAAAAAAATCACCATAATCCCAAATAATGGAGGTCAAACTATACAGTAATTGAAAAAATGGCATACCAAGAGTCCTCGTTGGTTTATTTTCAGCATCCTTTAAGTTCTTAGCTTTACGTGAGGAGACACGGTGATCTTTGTTATCACTGTCAGAGCCACTTCTGCCACTGGAACTCTCACTTTCTGTGTCACTGGAGCTCTCCGATCTACTAGAAAAGAAAGGTCATGATCAGCATTAAAGGGGAAAAAAATGATGTTACAATGAAAGAAAGAAAAAAGGCTGCACATAAAACAACTATAAGCCAGACCGTTTGGACTTGCGCCTTGGTCGTTTTTCATGTCGGCCTCTCTTCCTCTCCCTTTGTCTATCCCTTCTATTCCTCCCACGGTGATATTTATCTCTTTTTGTAGACTTTTTCTTCCTACGCCTTCCATCACTAGAACTTGAGTCAGATAACGACGAATCTGAATCGGACGCTGAATCTGATTCTGAATCAGAATCTGAATAAGAGGATTCAGATTCAGAATCAGAGCTGTATGAATCCGATGAAGAGTATTTTCTTCTTCTTTTCCTTCTTTTGTCCTTCAAGGACTTCTTCTTTCTTCCTATGACACCCTTACCAGAACTATCCTCGGAGGCTGGTGCCTTCCCTGATTTTTTCTTTTTCCCTGAAAAGCAATAAAAGAATCTCATTTTGCACGCACAATATGCTCATTAAATACATAGCGAACAGGCAGAATTTAGTAGACTGACAAATTTCCTTTCATTACCAGTCTCTTTCTCAACTGCAGTTTGAATTTTGCTTGCAGAAGTTTCACCACAATCTACAATCTTCACGATTCCAGAAGGTTTCCCATCAGCTGTTCCCTCCTGCTCAATTTTCTCAATTATGTTCATTCCCTTCACAACTTTCCCAAAAACAACATGTTTCCTGCCAAATTAGATTGATAGACAGAATTAAGAACAACAATAAATCATTCAATTTTAAAACTAAAACATTTAAAGTCATTGGATGATATAACCAGTTACTCAGTCAAGTATCAAGGATCCTTGAAAGTGGATGGTAAAAGGTTTACTATCAAGGAGAAAAGTAAAGAGCAATGTTATTGGACACCGGTGGTGCTAAACACCACCCACTAATAGAATATGGGTCCCGCAGTGTGGGCCCACAGGTGGATCCCACTTCCCATTAGTGGCGGTGCTTAACACCGGTAGTGTCTCTAAGCATTTTTAAAGTAAATACCCATCAAGATGAGGTTGCCGCCTAAAGGTTATGAAAAACTGCGACCCATTTGTGTTTGGACCACTATTTGCCATAGAGAGAAAACCAGGTCCATCGTGCCGCAATTTAAAACTCTCATCTGCAAATCATACAAAAGCTTACATCACTAATAGTCATTGAACAATGTTTATTAAGCATGCAAGTGCTAGAACACAGAAAATCACCAGCAAACTTCCCTCCATAAATACTTTCTCCGCCAGTGCCTGCAAACCAAACAAAGGTTTTCCTTACAAGTCTGCGCATGAATATAGAAGTAATCTGCATTTAGAGGAAGGGTAAAGTATAGAAAGAGATGTCATACCGTTTCCCTTTGAAAAATCACCTCCCTGTAGGGACAAAGGAAAAAAATAGCAAAAAATTTAGACATGTTCGCCTGTTTCAATGTGTAGTTTCACAAATATAAGTTGTATAAATGCAACTTGAATGATGCAAATGTAGGTGAAGGGATGGAAACAACATACTTGGGCCATAAATCCCTTAATTATTCGATGAAATTGTGAACCCTTGTAGTGAAGGGCTTTCTCAGTAGTCTTTCCAATCCCCTTCTCACCTATGTCCAAAGACAAAACATTTAGCTCATTCTTGGCATAAAGACCACGTTTTTCATCAGCACTAATAAGACCAGGTTAAGCATTAGAACAATAGTACACACTGATACCTCCGGACAAAGAAAAAGACACTAATACCTTCAGATATCTAGTTAACATTAAAGAACTTTAAAGAAAAAGGGCAAGTTATCATCTCATTCATTCTGCTTCTGTTAAGTAAACAAGTTAAAACCACTTGCTATCCCAACCAACC